AATATTAACGCGACCCCCCCGAAGTCGAACCGACAACTGGCTCGAGCCTGCACGCGGGCCCCTTATATAGCGGCGGCCGGCCGAAGATCGGCGAAAATTTCCGAACTTTACCGATTCCTTTAAAAGTTTCTTTTTCGCTGTAGTAGCTAATAATTTATTAACTTTTTTGACTTTTATCGCTAATATACTTTGCCAACTATTTGTTATCAACAATTTTAATTTGTTATTAGCAATAAATTTAATGATTTATTAACTTTTTGTAAGTTATGGATACATTTTAACACGAATAGGTTGTTTGTTTAAGTAGGATTTAATAATTCATTAACTTTTTTACTTTTATCGTTAATATACGTTGAAAAATATTTGTTATTATTAATTTTAATTTGTTATTAACAATAAATGTAGAATTTATCAGCTTTGTGCAAATTTTGCACAAATACATTATATATACTAGTAATAGCCTATAATTTAGTAATTTTTCCATTTGTACTATAAATTTACGTTGTGAACAATTTGTTATTAACAATAAGTGTATTAATTAATAAATCTTTTCCAAATTATAGGCACATTTTAACATTAGTATGATATTTGTCAAGTAATAACCGAAAATTTATTAATATTTTTGAGTTTTATCTTTAATATACGTTACAGAGAATTTGTTACTAACAATATTAATTTGTTACTTAATTAATAACTATCCTTTACGCAATTAATTTATGAAACTTTATGCACTCATTATAAAAACAATATTTTTGCGAATCTTCTCATATCACTTTTGTTCACATTTTTATCCTAGTTTCGTTGAGTATTAAATATTTTCTCGGAAGATCGTGATGGTCGTCATTACGAAATCATAGACGCCATCAAACGAAAATTAATAACTAACAATTTAGAGTTAAATTCTTTACGAAAACTATATAGGAATGTAGCCCGAAGTTCCAGCTTTGCAATGAAATTATAAAAGTTGACAAATTGTTTACGGAAATTGAGTAATTAATAATTTTTCACTGCCGGAGCCATTCTATCCTTTTCTATCCCCTCTCTGTCCTTGTCTGCCATGTTACGAGCTCTTCGACGACCTCCTTGCCTATTCTATATTCCTATCACTTTTCCGAGAATATGGTCCAAAATCATAAATGGCGCTGATCGCAGGCGGTAAAATTTTTATTCCATCCAAATACCTCTTCTGGTTATGCGCTAATAATACACCTTAATAAATTAATGCAGCAGTGGAAAATTAATAAGTTTAAGTTTACTGTAGTGATATATCTGTCCTATTACAATTTACTATTCTTCGCAAAACAGTGGATGTGAGTTTATAAAATTGCCATGATATCCTTCCATTAAATTTACATTATGTTAAATCTAATTTTTTTCGAAGAAATTATTTTCATTGCGTATGTTTAGGTTATTGAAAATGGTGATAATTTCAAAAATAGGGAAAGGAAAAGTGAATGAAGAATTGCTTTAAGATAATAGTTTTTACCATTCATTTTTATTAACTTGCAAAATTACCTTAATTGTCTACTCATGCACAGATAAAATATATAAATAAAAATGTAGGTAAATAGTGAACGTGAGTCTATTTATCGAGACTGTCTAAGCACGCGTGTGCGAAATTGAAACAAAAAAATATTTTTCCACGAAAGAAACAAATAATTGCTCTTTTTTCTTTCTTAGAAAAAGACACGAAATCGTGGCGTGACAATGCACGATTTAAGAAATCACATAACAGATATCTAGAACAGTGATAAACCTATTATAGAATAATGAATAAATATAACAATCGAAAACATGGCCAAATGCAATGACGAATAATATAACCAAACAATTTTTTCGTCCATTTTCCGCGTGTCTCAACTTTCGTTCAATGGAAACTCGATGCGCACTACATTGTCACAACGAAATTTTACCAAGAGATATGCACATATATATACATATATATGGTAAAAAAATCATAACGAGCTATATAAAAGATACAACTGTAAGTGTTAATAGTTACATCTTTGGACAGTCAACAAAAGCGATCACTCGCGAAAAAACGGTTCTCTGAATGCGAAAATGCAATAGAGAAATTAAATAACTCTCATTATACATCTCAACCCCTTATTTGGAGAGCTTTATTCGGATTTTAAACATCTAATCTTATTTCTCATTTTTCGTAAATTCAATAGGAAGCGTTAAATTTCTTTTCTCGCTGAAAAGAATCTTTTCTTTTTATAATGATAAAATATCAAACGGTATTTAAGTTCACCAAATAAAAGGTTAGCTAACCTTAAAAATATTACGACGAAATTCACGAATTCGATTTTGCAAGAGGTCTTCCTATCGAACACCTGCATCATTTTATTTTCTCTTTTGCTGCTAATCGTGAAAATTCATCGACGTAAAGGAACGTGTGTTTTCTCTGTTGATATCGGAACTTGATAAGCACGAATTCTCGATAAACGATTTAAAAAACGGTTCTTAAAACAGCCATCTTATATAATCAATCGAACAGGTACGCAACATCAACAAGAACAACCGTGTTTTACAGCACCATTCATGTTCTTTTCTTTTCGTTTCTTTTTTTTTTCCTTTTTAGTGCAAATATTTAATTCTGGGACGTTCAATTGTCCCACGGTTTTCGATATGTCTTTATTATCATTGAATTACTTATGAAATATTTTAGCAAGTTCTCTGGAACTTTTCCAAGTTTAATATTGAACGTGATTACTCGTAATGTGGTCCAGAATTAAATATCCTTTACGACCAAGAATTTTCCATCAAACACCGTTCGCATTGCTTGCAATTCAACTCTGTTAACTAACAAATAACACGAAACATATCTAAAATTAACCCGCCATTTCACGTGGTCTTCGTTATGTGAATTATAGCACACATTTCGACTAGAGTAATATTATATATGTATACGCAGTTAAAATTAAATTTCGGAGACGAAATTAATATATACATTCCAGCAGTCTTGGCGGCTCAAGTGGATTCTCGTAAATTAATTGTACCCTGATACTCTTCGGAGTACTTTCATAATCGAAATCATCGATATATCATACGTATAATTATTATTTAATGGAACAACAGGTCGTAGAATTCACGCAGAAATAAAATCTGATGAGCAATTAATTTAACAATAACAATTAAGACGTGCTTAAATGATGATAAAAATAATAGGGTACAACTTCTGGTCTCCAATATCGCAAATTAGTTTAAGTCGAGCCGCGTTTAAGAGTCCTTTGCTGTGGCAGTAGACACTTTCAACAAAATCTCATCACACGCTCTTCAACGATCGTCTACAAACGCATACGTTCTTCATGGTGTTTTCCCAACGAAAAGTAATCTAAAAATAGAATCTCCATGCATCTGTCATCAGAGACTTGCATAGTTTAAAGTACGTAAAATCTCGGTTACCTTATCAAAGATATTAAATAAAAAAAAAATAAAAAAAAGAAAACAATCGATATTCAGAATGCATCGTTTCAAGGAGAACACTATCAAGCAACTTTAACTTAGTTTATAAAAAGCTACGTCCACTCAACGTCCAACAGTTTGAGAGAAATTCCAAGAAATCCCTTTTAATCTCGAAACAAATGTCACTTATGGTTGAAAAGGACGATGTTTTATATCATTCATAGCAGGATCTGTGTTCACAGTTTCTCTGTTTCTTCGTTTCCCCTTCTATCTTTGCGTTGAAGATAACGGAACACGTCTCATCTTTGGCTTGTTTTTATCATTTTGCAAGAAACTACCTGCAAACTCGTGGAAAAGAAACAGCAATCGTAGATTGTAGTCTGCAACTTCCGAAAAAATTCGACACACTCATTTTACGAATATCATACCGGATTAAATTAGAGGAAATCCTTACTCTTAAGGATCTCGATCGATCCTTCGAACGTTTCGTGTGTGCAATACTTTGCGTACAGTGTAAGACTATGGCTTACAAGACGATTACATAGGGTAATAGTACCCTTTACTCGCAAATCCAACGATGATGAATCTTCTGACGCGCAATTTCCAGTTGTTGCAGCCTCGACTAGGGGATTTTCTTCATATTTAGAAGCTAGGATATACTTGTTCACAAAATTTCATTTCTTTTTTGTCTAAAAAATAACTTGCTTTGCACTAGAAAAAGGTAGTTGATCAGGATGAATTGTTTAAGAATCGACTGACTGAATTTGTTTTAGATTCCTACAACTACTATTAGTTGACTTTTTTTTTATAAATGGCTGCAGCAATTGAAAGACCCGCATTTTTTCAGGTGATTCTCTCGCGTTAAGTAAAAATAAGGGTCCATGATTTGCTGTCTATTTACAACGTGAAGTACACAGTATGTATATTGTAGAGAGATTGAACAATGACGCTTGCTTATCACACATCGTCGTGCCATGGCCTGAATCTTCCTCTCGATTACTACTCATAGTTACGGATCGATTCGGTGATATCGAAGCTTCTTCATTTTACAGAGGTTCGTTTGATACGTTCCTCTAGTCATTTGCTTATCCCAAATAATTAAAAATATCTAACTTTGAAAAGAAACTCCAATTTTTTTTCATGGATACGTTTGTAAAGTTGTTCAAGTGTTTTATCCGGATAGAATATTAAAAGGAATAATTCTCGAATATCTTTGTACTTCAGCGATCCGAGGCGGCTCGAACCAGATCACCGAACGGATCCATATCCAATGATTCATAGATCCACCGAGAATCATTTTGCCATAATATACGGCTGTTCACAAAAAGATTACACGACACTCCTACTATATGGAAAACAACTACGCGGTTAGACTACTAAATTGCCCTACAGTAAAAAGGCAATTTTTCTCTTGCTTTCCTTGCTCTTTTCAAGTGACGATCAATTTTCCCATTCTTATTCGCTCTCAGCGCAATCGTCGCTGTCACCACTGTCATAATATTTGTTCCTCGACTATCGATGAACTGGAATCCGATGAACTGATTGCAGATATATCATCAGGGTCCCCATGGAATTGGATATCCACACTCTGAAGCATGTCCACGAATTCATCATCCAGGATTTCCAGATTTTGGGAAAACGCGTCCTCCGACATGGAATCGTTTGACCTAGGAAAAATATACGTTTCTATAGTGGTTTAAATGCCGAAGTATCAATTACTTGATTAAGAATGATACAATTCAGGGTCATGCTTTAGTAGAAGTGCATATGAAACCTAGAATGCAAACAATTATGAAAGAATTGCTTAATCTAACATTTGAAATTCAACACTCGAATTTCACTCTTGACTCGTGAACGTGCAACGAGCATTTCGTAGTTAAAAATATTTTCTTTTCGGATCAGCAATTAATCAGCAATTATACAGGAATAAAAATTTACAGCTTTTAATGGCGTTAATTGTGATCTAGTCCATTTCTAGCAACTTGCAATTAATAATTCATCGCCATCCGAGAATCATTAGGATTCAAGTGATACGTTCAACGACATGGAACGTAGAAAAAAGAAATGGAAACGAATAAACGGTTAGCTGATTAGTTAACTCTCTAATTAATGTATTATGCATACACAGAAATCGTGCATCACTGTATCATGCAATTCTGGATTCGTTTACTTACTAAGCTGCAGATGATGGTTACAATTCATCATCACACAGCCTGCAACAAACGCATAGATCGCATCATAGTAATTACGATCATAGTACAAGGTGAAATTGTTAGATCCCGCAGCGGGTATACTATCTGACGACAACGCATACCACAATTCGAAAGCTATGATTTCCGTTTCGTAGCTCGAAATGGTAAGCAGGAACTTTCTATGATAATTGCGAGGCCAGTTCATTTACTATACTGAACGACAATGTGAAACATTTTTTTCATATCTTAGACGATACTTAATGTTCCATTGATTGATTTTATATAATTTTTTCGTCACGACTTAATAAGTCTTAAACGCTATTAATAACATTGATGCGTCATATGCATATTGACGTTAATAAGTGATAGTAAAAAAACAATATTGGCATATTGATTATATGGCATAGATGAACTGTGTGCAATATATATTACATAAAATCAATACTTACATTCGTTCATTCACAGAATTCATTACCACTCTCTTCGGTGACCAACAGTTCATATTCCTCTGCGGCGAATCGGTCCCAATCCGACAGCTGTTTCAAATGAAACAAAAAAGAAGCACGATAACAGATATCAGTGAGGTACTCATAACAACGACTGTTTCCTGTTAAATTTAATTTTGTTCGTTTCAGATAATTTCTGAGGCTCTTTACCTCGTGACCGTCAGGGTCGTGTTCCCTGGCAGATGCAAAGGGATCTCTCTGTTCGTGATCCAAGTACTTCTCGAGATTGAAGAAGGTGTCAAAAAAGATCGAGGTCATTTTACACTTCTTTAAGTCACTCAGAGATATCTTCCCTGGCGTCGCTGGTTTGATCATATCTAACATCTACGTTAATTCACGAACAAAGTAAATAAATAGAACACACAACGAATACGTAATATACTAATTATTTAATTCTTCACGACTTACCTGGCAAAGGCAATCCTCGAAGGGCAACGTCTCCAGTCCAATTGCCTCCATGCGATGCAACTGCTCCTCGTAAAAATATTCCAATTCGTACATCGACAAATATCCATCGCCATCGAGATCCATGCACCTACCGATCATTCCAAATGAAACACCGACCGTCTGTACAACGCATCTAACTTAAACATCGTGCATTATACCTGAACCAATACTCAATAGCGGTCGGATGGTTTTTGTCCTCTTCGCTTAACAAGAACCACACGAATTCCGTGTAACTCATTTTATCTTGGGGTTGTTGAACGCCGTTTCCGCTTTTCACACCACCCCTGGTCACTGCACCGCTGAATATTCTCGCGATCATTCGCTTGGAAAGAGCTAAAACAGTTGATTCGAAAGTGGAATTTCGTTTCTGTTCCCAGCAACGAAACTTGCGATAAATTCTGCCGAGGGAAATTTATCCTCACCGTGGTCATTGTGCTTTGTAAGGTCTGTCTTATCGATAAAGAGATCGTGATCTCGATCGAGTTCCCAGAATTTACAGTAGATCACATAGAAATGCTCGTAGCTGAAGTAAGCGGTCACTTGATTGATGTCCTCTTCATGCTCGAGGATCGCGATCACTGACAGCAGATTGCTCCTTCGCAGCTCCGCCACGGAGATCCTTCCGCTCCAGCTTCGATTAACGCAGTAGAATATCCTGGCGATCACCTGGAGCCAAGATTCACATCGGAATCATCGAATAAGAACGTCAAATATAAATTCATCTCGTTAACCGTATCTTCAATATTGAGCGTGCAAATACGATTGATTGGCGTGTAAATACAGAAGCCAGCGAAGTCGAAAAAGGGGAAAAGATTTCACTGTTAAGTGGCCGATGTCGAATGAAATGAAGTAACACGTTGGCTCGTTAAGATGATTTTCCAATGACCAGGAGTTCGCGTGATAATTGCCCGAGGCGAGCACGATCATCTTGAATAATTCAAGACGATCCACGTTGCGTAAACTACAGCCCATCCTCCGTGGAATCTTTTTCTCCTCTCCCTCTATCACTCCTCGTAACGAGAGAAATAGCCAGCAAATATTTATCGCGCGAATACGAACCGTGTGTACGTAGCGTGAATGGAACTCAGTAGCCTCTTTGAGGAAAGTTAAACCGGGATGGGTCTCGACCACGTCTTGCACCAGCGGGATCAAATCCTCCGGCAGTATATTGTTCCTCTGGCCCCGAGTTGTGATTCGGATAAACTTGCTCGCCGCGTCGTGGTGGGTGTTCGATATTCTGCAAACAATCAGCCCCCGCGATATTCATTAGACTGGCAAAATCGGGGAAAAATCCTCGACAATCGGAGGATCGAAATATCCCGATTTATTTTCTAAGGTATCAAAAGCTTTTATCGGATACGTGGCTTACTCTTTCCAGAAATCAAGGAACGCGTTCATCTCAACGTAGTCGGTCTGGTCTCCTCCGGCCGCGAGGAAAAGCGGCACCTTCCAGTAGAGCGGCAAATCGCATGCCTGCAAGACAAATCATAGCTTTTGTATGCAGCTGTTCCAGCAATGGAACGACGGAGTTACAGCTTTCCCACGTGAAATCGCTGCCCACGTGAGAGATCACGGGAATGGTCAAGATCAAACAGCTACTCCGCGTTAAGATGGAGATCGAGCAAACATGGAAAAGCGTATTCCTGGAAATATCGAGTTGCAATATCGTCATCGTACCTTGGTGATGCTGTGAAATTGGGCTCGAGAAGCATGATGACCAGGTAGACCTTGAAAAGCAGCGGTGATCCTCGAGATGGTTGCCTCGACTTGCGAGAGCGGCAAAGGCTTCCCCCCGGGAAAGTAAAATCTGCAATTACCCAATAGAAATTTCGCGTTATTATACCCTTAATCGGACACTGTAACGCTATTGTATCGTATACGGTTTGGACGAAGGTTTACCGTGGTATGTGAACGTTTCTGTTCGCTTTCACGTGCCTCTGGAGTGTCGTGTGCGGTGGCAAGCTCTTTTGCTGTGTCTTGTCTTTCGCGTACGTCTAGAACCAACAAGCATCGTTCCGGGCAGACTGATTGGGACCGTGAAAATTAGCAAAATCGCAGCCCACGTTCTTCGCTATACGCTCGGTACACCAAACGTGTTTTGCGATTTTGCGCCACGCGTCTAACGACGTTATCCGCGATCCGATTTATTTGCTCTCGTAACACAAAGTACTCGAAAGGTGTTAGGTAAGGAGCTTTATTTATTTACTTCCTTTAATTTCCTGCGTTACATAACTTGCTCTAATCGCGTTACAGACAAAGGACACGGCGTGCCACGATCCTGATCTCGTTATATCGCTGGGACTTCCGGTTACGACGGGCCGTACGCGGTTCTCCAAGGTGTCTAATCGATCGCGTCGACGAGTCGCAGTAATTTTACGCTTCTTCGAAAGCGCCGCACCGACGCGGAGGTATCGAGGCGCACCAAGGACACGACATCCTGTTACGCGACGCCAAGGATCCGAAGAATGCAAAGAGGCCGGCCAACGCGGCTAATGCATCGCCTCGCCCATGTGACTATGGTTACATCACTCCTATACACATTGCCGTTTCCAACATCACGGTCACGGAAATGGGAGGATCTTTCCACGTGCTGGCTGTTCACCAGCCAACGCGATCTTTCCATCCTCACTGTCGAAACCCCTTCGTCGAAGGACCCATCATGGGGTGGACATTCGGAGGAATTTACTCAGCGACGATATCAGGGCGTGCAAGATGTCAATGATCGCCGGAAATAGAGGCATGGCTAACGACAGAGGCGATAATAATAGACGTGAGAAAAAATACTGTGCGCAATAAAAATAGCGGTAGAGCTTCTTCGATGGAATCCGTTTAAGGAAGATCAATAATGCAGGCCGTTCCGCGCGGTGAAAATAAGGCAACGTCCGCTCGAGTAACCCAACGATAATCGTCGATAGTCCCAGATCGAATACGTCGAGCTGATGAAAAACCGATTGACCCCGAAGGGAATAAGGGAGCGAAGACGCGACGCGAATGCTTAAATTCGCGAGCGAAAATGGCGACGAACGGCGGAAGAACGGAAGCGAAATATAAAGCAGGAAGAGGTATCCGAAGATTCGTATAGCTCTTACTCGTGAATCGCAACCAAGACGCAGATCGTTGCGAAATCCCGGAACAGATAGGACGCGCGTCCCGTGACATTGGGACAGATTAGGCAAAATGGCCGGTGCAATTATTGCGGCCTCATGTTTGGCACGGTCCGCTGCGTGACATACGGGATACCGTCAATCAGCGTTCCAATTGACATTGCGAATTCGACTGCGCCTCTCGATCGAACCCTCGCACTGCCAACCGGCCAAGGACCACTCTTTTCGATACTAAATACTTGACCTTCGCCGCTTGACCGAGGCTCGGGTATTTTCATTCGATTTCATTCCGCTTTGACGTCCCCTGGTATTTAGGCTCGTTGGAGGGGGATGTGCCCGATTCGTAAACATATTTCAAATTAATTGGACTCTGGTCCGATGAAAGAGTGGCGTTTCATCGAGGTTCTGATTCGATCAGACGTTCTTGCGGGGGCTGTACGGAGAGCTAAAGAGAACTGCGGAGATGCGCCAGGAAGGGAACCTAATTCGTTGATTGGATCCATCGAGAGCTCGTGGCGCGACCTGTGTTACAGTTTGTTCCACGGCTCTTAGCCGTTCGTATACGCGGAATATTAAAATTTCAATCTCGATTTCAACCTTTTGCTCGTCGACATCGGAATTCGAATGCTGGAATTTCAACCGGGAACCCGTATCAACGCTAAACCCGTGGATCGCTAAGTACGTTCGATGCCGGATCGTTTCCTTCCTGGTTCCCATTATTCTAACGAGTCTCACTTAACCGATCGCGAGGAACTTTCCTGCCTGGGTAGTCGCTTTTCAGCCATAAGCGGCGATAGAGTCGGCCACGCTCCGTTCCAAGGCGACAGTCGACGGCCTTTTAAAATCTAGCACGATATCCAATATGGAGCGGCCACAATGAGTCAGTCAGCGGTCGCAGATATTCGCCGGCGAGAACGATTTCTCGCCGTTAACCCCAAGGGCGCTGGAAACTTTTTCCTATTTTCCTTTGACCGTCCTGCCACCGATCTCACGTTGCGCTCCCGTGTCTTCTCGTTTCCCCATATGGGGCTGTCTACACACCGTGATACAACCGTGCCGTCACCGCGTCCTTTCGAATGGGAATTTTAATTACCCGATACCTGGAACCTTGCGTGGCCGCGTGATCGCCTTAAGCTGTTCTTCTATCGTCGAATTAATCCCTGCTGGTAATTTTCAACGAAATCACCTATTCGAGTAATCCCGCGGCAACGTGACCGACTGTATCTCTCGGCTAGCATTCGCTTCTAATGATCGAACGAAGCATGGACCACCCTGCACGATAAATAACACCGACGTAACGTCACGAGCCAGGGTATTATTTAACCAAGAGCATGGCGATAAGCGGTCAAGAGCTGTCCGTTTCCACTTATGGCCATGGTGGTCCGCTTTATTCCTCTCCTCGAGGTCGAATAACATTAATCATAACGAAAACCGAGCAGTGACTCAGCGGCGACCAAACAAATGAGACACGCCGCGTTTCTACCCGTCGATTAAATTAATCGGACCCTCTCTTCGTCCCGATACTGCGCCTTTTCTTCGTCCGGACCTTTTCCTCTTCGCTCTGCATGCGCTTTAAACGGTTAATAGCCGCGAAAACCGGCGACGAAAACATCGGCCACCGCTGCTGGGGGAGGGACTCTCTCGCGGTCCCAAGGATAAGAAAATAATCTGGCATTGGGCAGAGGCAACAAACACCATCGACTTCTGGATACATCGACGGCCTTCCACGCGTTAGTCGCTTTCGTTTTAAACACACGAATTTCGTCGGAATTCCCTCGTGTGCCTATCGAGGATGCAACGCGAGAGCCGAGGCTGGAATCGCTGCAGCCTCTGCACTCGTTGCATCCATAAATATCCACGTGTTTCACACTTATTCCACGCACGCTGGAATCCCAGGAATCTTGTTGTTTCCATCGTTACGCCGTATTATTTATCCGAACGACACCGTGACAAGACTGAGAAGTCTAATCTTCTCGAAGCTGCGCCCGATAACGATCTCGAATTAATTCCAAAAGCTGAGAGTACCTGCAGGAATTTCTTTGAGTAAACCAGAGAGAGAGAGAGAGAGAGAGAGGGAGAGAGAGGCTGGACGAGTCGAGAGAGCAGTGGGAACGCAATAACCGTTTAATAACAATGCCTGAGCCAAGCCCTCGGGGCTACGTGCATTGTTAGAGCGTTCAGCGACGCCATGTTGGAGAACCGAGGCTTATCACCGGTGTTTCACTCACCATTAGCGCGGTCTTTGGCTGCTGGAAAGGGATTCGCCGATCGAGATTAGGGGGCTTCCGTGACTCTCGATGGATCAAGGGTCGAATCGGAAAAATTTGTAAACGAGCCGCTGACGAGGATTCCTGCAGGTGATTACAGGGTCTGGAAGAACGATGGACGCACGGGAAACAACTATACCTATGCTAGAGGAGGAAAAGCCAGGGCGATAACGGTTTTTGGCAGGCGAACCGTGCCAGGTATATTCCTCCCCTTTCTGGCCCTGGTCCAGAACAGCTTTGAAACTCGCGAGAACGTTTCTTTCTTAATCGTTCGATCGATTTAATCCTGTGTTTCTTATTACCGTTCGACGCTGTGTCTTCTCCGAAGTATATATAAACACGCGCGGTACGTAAAAGGATCGGGTTTAGAGAAGAATAGGCTGAGCGACCACTTTCCAAGAAATAATACAGCTGAAAATGGTTCGGGGGATAAGTGGTGTACGACGTCTCGGGATCCTTCATGCTCTAGGAGCATGATCCTGAAGGTGTTCCAATTTACTAACATCGTGGAAACCGCCGCAGAAAGAAGATCAAAGGAAACTGGACAAGCTCTATAACAAAGAAGAGAGGAGGAAGAGCATCAGGCGATGCTCGTAGAGAAAGGCTGAAGGCATGCAGAAACGACCTCTACGCGAAGAGATCTTGAACTCGTTTCGAGACAAAAGTGCAGGAGTCGACCGGTCGAACATCCTCCCAGGGAAGGAGGAATTTGGACGGCGACCAAGAGGCCCGATATAAGCCACCCAGAGTGGCGAGAACACGCGAGAGAAGACACGTCTTCCCGATTGCCGTGGACTCGGAGCTTCTGAGGCACCGTCTCATCCGGCCGAATTAGACACCGCTTCCAGGAAAACGTGGCTCGTCTTGCACGATTTTCTTTGTGCACCCACGTTCGTTTGTGCACAGCCTCCTGAAATTTTCGAACGGTTGTTCGCTCGGTTCGGCGAACCTCGAGATCGCCAGCTCTCGCGTCGCATCCCCCATGGCTCGAGTTCCGAATTCTTTGGCTAACTTAACCCCGCGAGTTCGTTTTTGAAACTAAACGTCAAAGAAATTATCGAGAAATGGCAAATTAATGGGAAAGGAAGAAAGAAACGATACTTCCGGATCAGTGAGTACCGATTTACCTGAGCCTTGTTCTGAACCTCGTGTCCGGTCCTCCAAGTGTTGATAGCCGGTTGCCGTGGCCCCCGTTTGTCGAGCAACAGTTCGCTCGGACACTTCTCGAAGATGAGAACGCGTTCCGCGACGGATCCCCTGGTCAGAAACGGTCTGATGGGATTGTTTCCGGTTCCAGTTGCAGCTGCGGCTCTTATATGCTGCTTCTGTTGCGTGGTCAGTTCCGGATGCGGCACTTGTTCGATTCTTGGCCTAGGAGAATTGATCCTAGGCCCCCATCTAGAGGTCACGGGATCCTTATCCTCTTTATTAGCTTCTTTGTCCTTTTGTATCTCCGTTTCGAACTTGGACCTCGTGGTCGACACCAGCTGTTCCGTGGAATTGAAGCTGTTGTTCGTCCTCTGCTCCTCCAGCCTCTGTTGGGTCGGAGGATTCTGCTGAGCCGCCCTGTATCTGACTTTCGCGTAATCCACCACGGACATGTTGGATAAATCGTCCTTGCTCAGAGATTTCGCGTCTGACGTGGCACTTATATTGCTCCCAGGTGTCGTAGACGCGACACTGTTCACCATAGTAGCGGAAGTGGGCACGAGACCGCCTCCATGATGATTATGACCGATGATTATCGGTTTAACAGGCTCCACCTTCGGTTTCTCCCTCTTTATCGCCGGTTTCTGGCGAGTCAGAGGCACCGTCCGCTCCGTGGGCTCTTCCGTGATCACTGAGCCCGTCTTCAGAGCATTTATCAGTCTTTCCTCCTCGCGAGCAACCTCGTCGAGGTAGGCGCTCGAATTCGAGCCACTGTTCCTTTTCTCCTCTTTACTCGTCAACAATTTACCTTCC